TGGTTACCCACCAGAACTTCATGGTAAGACCCTATTACTGAAGATACTACATACATAAGCTGCAGAACCAACAAGGAGAAACCAAGCTGGTACTAAATTCAAAGTTTCATCTCTAGTGGCTAGTGTTCATGAAGGTGCTATGCAAAGCTACCTGAAGAGAAAGTGTATCATAGACCTTGCCCAGCTGTGAATTCTGCAAGCTACAACAACAACTGGCAAGATATGCCTATTGGTGCTATGGTGGCACAAATATTGGAGTAATCAACCACTTTCTATCTGGATCTAAGGTTTGCTTCACAGGGGGAGAGAGAGCTGGTGCAGCCGTTAAAGGCTCAGGCTCACAACCAAAAAGACAAGATTTTCTTCATAGGATGGAGCCCATACCTGATATTGATATCAGGCATAGGAACCCGAGGCTAGAAAGCTCTCAGGTCACAGGAGAGAGCCTAATTCTATTATTCTGCTAAACAGAGTATTAAACTAACTCCTAATGACTTATTGTTTTAAATTTTACTTTACTGGTACTTAATTTTGGTTTGAGCTTTGCCCATGCTTCCTGGATATTCTGCTATATACATACAAAGATATATTTATATAACTGTCAATTTGTATGAGAATTATACTGAGTTTTATTCACTTTTTCCCCAATATGTTTCCTTTCCTCTTTGCAACAGGAGAAAAAAAGAACATGGGCTTTTTAAGTCCAGCCTATGTCCTTTTCTTCTTCCTTGGAGTTGAAGTATATTGCCAATATGAAACTTATCAATGGGATGAAGAGTATCTCCAAGAGCCAGATGAGGATTATGAACCAGAATTCCAATTTAATCAAAATACTGAATATGGAGTATCCTTTTATCACAGTATTTTAGGCTGTGCCAGAGAATGCTTCTGTCCAAGTAACTTTCCAACATCAATGTACTGTGACAATCGCAAACTCAAGATGATCCCAAATATTCCAATACACATTCAGCAACTCTACCTTCAGTTCAATGAAATAGAGGCTGTGACTGCAAATTCATTCATCAATGCAACTCATCTTAAAGAAATTAACCTCAGTCATAACAAAATTAAATCTCAAAAGATTGATTATGGTGTGTTTGCTAAATTTTCAAATCTACAACAACTTCATCTAGAACACAACAACTTAGAAGAATTTCCATTTCCTCTTCCTAAATCTCTGGAAAGACTCCTCCTTGGTTATAATAAAATCTCCACACTGCAGACAAATGCCATGGATGGGCTGGTAAACTTGACTATGCTTGATCTTTGCTATAATTATCTTCCTGATTCTATGTTAAAGGAAGAGAATCTTTCCAAACTGGAAAAATTAATGCAACTCAACCTATGTAATAACAGATTAGAATCAATGCCTCCTGGACTACCTTCTTCACTTATGTATTTATCTTTAGAAAATAATTCAATTTCTTTTATACCAGACAATTACTTTGACAAACTTCCAAAACTTCATGCTCTAAGAATGTCACACAACAGACTGGAAGATATCCCATATAACATTTTTAATCATTCTAACCTTATAGAGCTCAATCTTGGACACAACAAATTGAAGCATGCATTCTACATTCCAAGGAATTTGGAACACCTATACCTACAAAATAATGAAATAGAAAGTATGTGAAATTTTATATATGTGAAATTTTATGGTAGATTGACTCTTTAAAAAGTGAATGGTTATGCTGGGCGTGGTGGCATACACCTTTAATCCCAGGACTTGGGAGGCAGAGGCACGCCTCATCTTTGTGAGTTCAAGGCCAGCCTGGTCTACACAG